TGTGTGTGTGTGTGTGTGTGTGTGTAAGGGCGAGAAAGAGAGAGGTTTCTCTATGTGTGTGTGAATAGATCTGTGTGTGTGTGTGTGTGTGTGTGTGTGTGTAAGGGCGAGAAAGAGAGAAAGAGAGAGGTTTCTCTATGTGTGTGTGTGAGAGAGATTTATCTGTGTGTGTGTGAATAGAGAGAGAGATGTCTCTCTCTCTCTCTCTTTCTCTCTCTCTCTCTCTCTCTGTGTGTGTGAATAGAGAGAGAGGTGTCTCTCTCTCTATTCACACACACACAGAGAGAGAGAGAGGTGTCTCTCTCTCTCTCTCTCTGTGTGTGTGTGTGTGTGTGTGTGTTTTCCTCCTCCTATCACTGTGAAGCTGCAGTGGAGGACTGACAGCCTGTTGCTATCATTTCAACAGTTAGGAGTGTATCCGGACTAAAGAGATGGCTCTGCTAATGGAGCACCAGTTCAGACAGCTGCCAGCTGACAGACAAGTGGAAACAAGACCGTTTCTGGAAGCTGTGTCATACCTTCCACCATTCTTTGGTAAGTGAAGTTTCCACAGTGTGACACAGGGGAGACTACATTAATGGGACTGCAAATGAAGTTGTGAATTTTAAAAATAGATGACAGCAGGGAAAATGTATAGTTGTGGTGGTTTATGATTAACCTCTCAAAGGCTTCCAGATTAATGCCACAGACCGATCGTGCTTTATACTTCCAGGACTGTTAAACTGGTCCAGTAGGCACAAAATGTGCAGTTTACGTTAAAATTACCATCCATGCAATGGACGTGTTTTTTTCCACTGCTGTGAATCTTCATTTGGAATTTGTCTTATAATTAAACACTGAACTTGTGGTGAGGATAAATCTGTCACAACACTTCCATCTCGTTTAACAAAACGATGTTGCTCTTCCTAATGATAATCTTTTCTGGATCGTGTTTCTCTCCACCAACCTGTCCACAATCCTTTAGCATGCATAATTTACTCCACTGGCCTGGATTTTAAGTTGTGAAAATTGATTAGTACGGTGTTGAGTTCCCCATGCCCATTCACCGGTGCCGCGGTGCGCCAGGGCATCTTTGTGCGGCTTCATTCTCTATTAATATGCCAAAGTCCCTCCATTGAATTTGCCACGTGAAACCCTTGAGATGAACCAAGTCTGATGTTGATATTAAGCTCTTTCCTCCTTGTCACCATTATTCTTCCTGACCCAGAAATATTTGAGCCAACTTTCCTACAGGCCATTACCATCCCGCACACTC